GGCGATATCAAAGTATATAAAAAGTGCATTGCAGTTTGTATAGGGAAGTAAATACACACTCGCTATTACTACGGTTTCAAGCCAAATCTAGAATCAATTACATTAGGTACTCGTTACATTACACAAAAAGTTTTATTAGAGTATTGAAACTGCGGATATAATCGATTACATAAATTTTTAGGCGAGTCGAATACACCATTTCTAACATCTGTACTCGAAGATTGATGATAAAATATCGATTCATAGAAACATTATCTTTAGTTTTGCGCTATCAGTTTTTAAAACGCTTTAACACAATGTAGCAATAATAATAATAATAATAATAATAATAATAATAATAATAATAATAATAATAATAATAATAATAATAATAATAAAAATAATAATAATTATAATTATAAATTATAATTATAATTATAATTATAATTATAATAACTTATTTTATGAAGGTAACAACAGTAGGCACATAGGTCTGTTTTTCACACTGACTTTAAAAAGAATTTCAAAAGTTAACAAAATGGCAATTAAATATTACAGACATTAGTAAAATTATTCTAGTAAAACAAACAATCATACCAAGTTTAAGATGGTGGGAAAATGTGGGTGGAAAATGGGGGTGGGAAATGGAGTGGGTAAAGAGGTGGGTATGGGACGGAGTGGCCTAGCGGTAGAACGCTAGACTGCTAACCCGGGAGTCTCGAGTTCCAATCCGGGTTCAAATCAGCGGAACGTCCCTGAGTCCATCTGATGGTTACCTAACTTACGTTAGGGAAACAAAGGCGACTAGGCTATCCATTCATATGTCGAGGTCACCTGAAGCAGATAAACTCTACTTCATCTGCCCCATGTGTCTTGGGCACGAACGGGAAATGATGATGAATGGGGGTGGGTATTGGGAAGTTAATGAGAATCACGGCAGACATGCAGTTTGTTGGCATTAAATGAGATGGATGAATCTGCTAAATATGCACGCCGTCATTTAAAAAAAAAAACTTCCCCGAGCTTTGTATCGCATGATTTCACCGGATGTGGATGTTTAAGTTTAAAGGCCTCTGCTCACGCGAAATATCGTTATTTCTATAAACATCCGGAGATTTTTTTTCTCCGCCTTAAAAATGTGAGTTTAAAAGACAAATTATTTTGTATTAATTATATCCTTTTGATGTCAATCATAAGTGAGGTATCTAAGAAGATTTTTTTCTGTTTACTTAGAAATATGGAAACAAAAACAAAAACATTTTGAATTTGTATTTAAATTATCTATATAGAAATCAAGATCTAGAACTAGATCTAGATAGGTTATAGATCGAGGTCAATGTAACTTTTAGAAAATTAGACTATTTTCATTTAAGGGTTAAGTAAGAATTTTTAATTTTTAAATATGGTATGAAAATGCGACACAAAAAATATATGTTTAATTTCCTGCTTTAGAATCCAATTCAAATTTATATTCCTAAATGAATGGCAACAGCATTATGTCATTAATTATGATTAGTTATTTCTCCAAAAACAATTAAAAATTTAGCCTCCAAGTTTAAAAAAAATTGCGCAAGGTACTAAATATGTGTATAAAACGTTCCTTTTAACATTTTAAACATAGTCACTCAAAAGAAAATTTAAAAATCAAACGAATTACGTAATTCCCTCTACCTACAATACAGATAAACAAACAATAACAAAAAGACACCATCTACCTAGAGGTAATTTCTTGTTTATTTAAACGCTAGATTTCAAAATGTATGTGTTTTAGATCAAGGTACACAACAGGGTTTAGCTTTTTTTTTCTTTTTTGTTATTGCTACCTCAAAAAGTTGTACACTGAAATAAAAAGAAATCAATATTCTAAATCGTTAAACCGTTTTATCTAATCTGTAATCGAATCCATTTGAAGAGATTTACTTTTGACAAACGCTTTGGGGATTCCAGTTCATCTTTTTAGACTGCTTTCAGTCGTTGAGATTCTATCGCTGGCTGCTTCCTTTAGTGGTGCGAAATTTGTGTTTGAAAATGTTTGTGAGTGTGTGTGTGCGTGCGTGTGTGTGTGGATGGGAGGGGGGGGAAGGAGTATGATAATTTCTTTGGCTAGTTAACCTTATCTTATTCATTTGTTTCTCTATCTATTTTTTTTTAATTTAATGAGTTAAATTTTACTGTTGTGAGACGGGTATAGAAATGTATTATTAACAGTACTATCAATTTATTATAACTGTAATTGTATAATTTTTTTTATAATTATTATTTATTATATTTATATTTTTGTTATAACTATAATTGTATTGTTATAGTTATAACTATAGTTATAAAATAATTATAATTATAACAATAATTATAGTTTTAGTATATATAATTAGCGTATGGCTGTTAAAATGAAATTTTGAACCTTTTGGGCAGATAAGACTCAGTAGCGGGAAAAAGTAAGCCATCTGGGAAAGAAAACTCCAAACTCAATAGGGCTGGTAAGTAGGTCACCAATGGCTCAATAAAACCTGCATGGTTGGTGACCTACTTACCAGCCCTTTTGGTTTTAATTCCTAATTGTGCTGAATGGAATGAAGTCCAACATTTCAATTAAGAAAGAAAAAGAATAAAAAAAGAAATTCAGAAACATAGCATTGGAAGGTATTAATTATTAATATAGAACTATCTAATCTACTTTTTTTTTAATCTAATGAAAACTTTTTATTTGAATAAAGTTTTTATTGTTTCTTCAACAAACGAAAAAAAAAGTGTTATAGATTTAAAAGCTATTTTAGTACACTTTATAAAGTTTGTTTTTATAAAGTTATTAAAACAAGCTTTAGTATTTTGACCATTGGACGTCAATTCCCTTGTACTCTTTTACCTCCTCTGTTTTATTTACCGTAGGATTAAACAAGACTTCTAGCTGATTGCATTTTAATTGGCGGAAACATGATATAAGGGCCTACAACTCTACGATCTTTCTCTGTAAAGCACAAAGTTTGGCGCCGTTTAAATGTGTCTTTCCTAGTAACAAATTTTAACATGAGAATATTAGAGTGACATGCCCTTTTATACCGGACAGTCCAAATAGTAGGTGAAATAGAGTTCTTCTAGTTTGATCCCTGTGTATGTATCACCAGACCATAGCGGTAGAGCGCTAGACTTCTAACGCGAATGTCTTTAGTTCGAATCCGGGCTCAAGTCAGTACAACGAGTCCGCCGAGCTCTGATGGGTACCTAACTCATGTTAGGGAAAGTAAAGGCGGCTGGGCATAGTGCTGACTACATTATCCCTTCATATGCCGAGGTCATGAAACACATGAACTCTACTTCATCTGCCCAGCGGATGGCTAGGTCTAAAGAGGAACCTGTATGTGTCACCAGTTTATAGTTGGGTGAACAAAGGGACGTTTTATGAACGTGCTTCATGTCAGTGGGTTTTTTTCTTGCGTGTTTTTTTTTTGGGGGGGGGGGGGGGCTTAGTCCCTCGAAGAGATGCCTTGAAGAAACTCTGATTGTGGTGTAATAAGTACAAAATGACTTCCGGTTTTATTAAGGCTAGAATTATTCAAACAAACAATTACAAATATAAAACTAATTTAGCAAACACTTTTATATTTAATTAGGATTAGTAGAGTCATGGCGTTGTGGTGATTGGAAATGTTATATTATTTAATATAACTATAAGTACTAGTCTATACACCATTGACCGCTTTTGTATATTTTATCATGGAAAACAATTGTTTTGACTTTCATTGTTTTACTCTCCCTGGCCAATCCGGTTGACTTCAAGGAGAGGTTGATGGCGTTTTTTTTTTAAAATAAATATTTGAATTCATAAAATAATTCTAATCGTCTTTTCGACTGCTAATTTTCAATACAAAAATATAAAAATGAGTGTAATCGATGGTTCCTAAATCAGCTTGCCATATTTTAAAAATATTTTTTTTTAAAAGAAGACTTATGATTGGGTAATCTGGGAAGAATATCGAATAACAGAAGTAAACTTAGGCTCTGTTGGATTGATGACGTTAGAGACCAAGGCAGTTTGGTATCCAGATATGAGAGAAACAGATCGAGGTCAATTCTTGGACAGTGGTGGTCAAGCTGACCAAAGCCAATCAAACGTCACATTTTGTTGAACTTGGCCTTCTCTACGTAAACGTCAAAATCATATCCATATTTCACGCACACATACACTAACACACACACACACACACACTGGCATATAATATAAAGATTGATGTACAAATATATGTATAGCTTATTTTACACCATGGACCTACATATATATATATATATATATATATATATATATATATATATATATATATATATATATATATATATATATATATATAGGCTATACAAACACGTATGGATATAACAAAGCCACTATTGTCTTACGTACTCTCGAAATTGTTTAGCTTATTTACATAAGCCTAATACGCAACTTCTCTAAACGTGTGCCCTTCCCTTAACCTAGTTGGACCTACTTAGAATACCTCCTACAAAAAAAAGAAACGCATCGACATGTCAGTTGGTCTACTAAATTCTTTTTTTATTTCCAACTTTGAGTCCAAATCTCTTTCTCAACTTCCCTCAAATAATTGTTTTTTTAAGACATCTTCAAATTGTCTTATTATTAATCAAAACCACATAGATCTACCAGCTCATACGAGTCTGATATTAAATTAGACGATCATTCAGTAATGGCGTAAAAAGAAATTTTTCTCGACGCCACTTAGCCCTCTCGTCTACAATGCTTATTGGCTTGCACGAGTGCTTTATTTTGGGGCTACAATCGGTTTTTCGAAGCAGCTAGCTAGAGCCTAATAGCCTAGGCAAACAACGTCACATCCGCTTCGCCCCAACTGACAACAAAAACTTGCCCGCCATGATCAACAGAAAGCATTCGTTTCTAGACTCTAGATCTACCTTAGTGATGTAATGTAATGGTAGGATGGTTAAAGTTTTTTTTTTTTAAATAAAATATTAACGTAATATTTAATTGTGTTAAATTAAGGAACAGTTTCCATTTTTTATTGAATTTTTTTTGTGAATAACTTAGAATTTGGGTCACGAATTTGCGGTTTGGGTGTAGAGGGGACACGACTCGATTCTCGCTGTGTCGAAACAAGGCGAATCCACAGGGCAAGCCGACGGCTCAACCAATGCTGGTGTGTGATGTATAACAGCGAAATATCTGAATACACTGAACAGCGACATTTTAATGTGTTAGTTATTAATAAGTGTGTACAAAATAATTGTTTGCTAACAATTTTTTAAAGTTTTAGATTCTACTTTTGATATTATTTTTTAAAAGTTAGGCTTGTTTATTTTACTTTTTAAAATAAAACGATTTAATTAGGCAACATTAGCCGACTTTTTTATTTTTTTATTGATAGTTTAGTCTAGGCCCATTTATTTAATAATGAACTCTGTTGAAATGTGTAACGTAGGTTGCGTGATAGATCTAGATTTCTAGAATGTAAAAAAAATCTAATCTAGAGAAGATCTAGATCTAGATCTTCTCTAGATTCTAGATCTAGTATAGAAGTCCACATCTATTCACAAAATGATTTTGTTAGAATCAAGATCTAGTCTAGTCTACTTAAGATCTAGAATTCTAGATCTAGATCTAGATTCTAGATCTATAAATTATTAGGCCTACATTCATATTAGGCCTAGAATCTAGATTCTACATTTAATTACATTACATAGACTCTAGATCTAGACTCTAGTCAAGATCTAGATTTAGATAAAGTAACTTAATGTTGTCTAGATCTATGTGTAGTGTAGTCTACTTGAGTTTAGTCTAGAATAGATTAACATTTAGATCTAGAATACCTATTTATTAGCCTAAAGCCTAGGCCTAATTTAGTAATTTACTTGTAGTTATAGAGCCTATTAGAAATTGAAAATAAAAAACAAATACAATAGCCTAGTCTAGATAAAGATAAAGATAGGGCTTATGGCTATAGATTTAGTTGATGTTTGGAAGGCTTTTGATAATTTAGTTATTTAGGCTAGTTTTTAGGCCCTGTTTTAAGCCTTATGCCTAATCTGTTTAAATGCCTTAAAATTACAGTAGTAGATTAGCCTATACTTTCTTAATTTTTAAATCAAATCACCTGTATAAAAACTATTATTATTAAGGCCTAATTTGTGGTCTAATTTCAATTTATTACAAAAGTTTTTCTTTGCTAAATGTAGATTAGTCAAGATTTCAAGATTAAATAGGACTATGCCTAGAAGTAGAACTATATTTTCAAAATTTTGAGGATGTTTGATTTGAAACTTTGATAAAACAAAATGGTGTAGCCTACACTATACCATAGGCAAAGCTCATATGTATAGCCAGTCTTATTTAAAGTAAAAAATAATCAGGATAAAATTATTTTGCCAAAAGACCTAGGCCTAATTTGTGTTTCAATTTTTAGTTTTGGTGATTCACATGTTGTTGGGCCTATTCAAAATATTTAGTAATTTTTGTTTAAAAGCTTGTCCTGTTTCATTAATAATTAATAAGTTGGAGTAAAACATTTTAAAACTTTGTTACCAGTATTCATCACATTTTCTTTAGCAGCCTTACATAATTATTTGCATAGACAGATCCTCAATTCTGAGTGGGTCTTAGTTACTCAAATGAAGATTTGTTTTTTTTTTCTTCATGATATAATACAATTTTTTCCTATCTTGATAATATATCATTACAATGTGCAATTTAACATGTTATTAAACATACTTTGATTAATAAAAAGCTAATTACTCATTGTCTTTCCAGAAATAAAAGAATGACAGTTTGCTTCACTAAGGAACAACCAAAGTGGGCAAAATGAAAAAGTTTACCTTCACCCCTCCTGAAACTGGACGGAGTGCCAAACGTGTAACCCCAGCTATTTCTAAACCAGCAACTGATGAGACAGGGAAAGGTAGAACTTTGAGCTTTATATTGTGCATGTTGATGTTTAACCCTCTAGTTTCCAAGACTACATTGAGGTGGGTATTTGTTTAGCAAAATTTGAGTGTTTTGATTTTTTGAGAATTAAACAAAAAAATGTTCACATTTGATGCAAAATTTAACCAACAATTTTATCTTTTTAAATGTTTCATTTTGTCTCACTGGATTTTATTTTTCAGATAAAAAATCATTTTCTGGGAGGATTCCTCGTGGGTCTGTCAAGAATATTGTCCACAAGAAAAGAAGTGGGTCTTTGAGTCTTTTCAGTCTGAAAATGGATAAACGGAGAAGGGCTTCTTCAGATACAGGGTCTAGTGCAGATGAAACCCATAAAAGCAGTTCACCTCTTCAGGTGCCAAAGAAGTTAAAACTGCAAGCATCAGGCAAATCAAAGGTAAATGTTTCCTCAGATTCTCCTGCAGCCAAGGCTAACGACGAGAAGAAAGATGAAGTCCCCAATAAAGATGCTCTAACTTCAGAAATGAGACGTCTTAAAACCACAGACGGTTTTATTTATGGGAGCAGGTCTAGTAGCCCTGCTGCTGCATCTGAGCAGGGGGACGCACAAAAATCTGGCAATTTATCACGGAGAGGCAGCAGAACCTCAACCCCAGATGTTTCTCCTGCATCTGCCAGGGTTAAGTCCAAAATACAGAAGAAACCGGTAGAAAATGGAGAGACTCTGTCTAGATCTAGTACTCCTGTTAGTGAGTTACGACGGCTGAAAACTACTGAAGGCTTCTGGTCGCAGTCTGTTTTACCACTAGGGCCTAGGACGGGTTCTAGAGATGGTAGCCCCTCTTCAACTTCATCTTTAGACATGTTGACTAAGCAGGGGGCCAAGTCGCAGAAACTCCGAGCAGGAAAATTGAGTGTGAAGAAAAGCAGCCCTGTGTATGCTGAAAGGAAGGCTCGAAGTTTAGAGAGGAAGAAAGCTCAGCACAGCCCGGCTACATCTCGGAATAGCTCGGCTGATGTCAGTCCATCACCGAGCTCATCACTCGATAGAAGTGTGTACGAGCTTTCTCTAGATTCTTCATTGACGCAGGCTACTACAATGGATATTGATAACACGGATCAGGAAATTAAAAAGCCAACGAGGGGTAGGCCTAAGAAGAAGAAGCTGATGCTGACAGTAGAAACCCAGACTTGTGACGGTGTTGAGCCTGATGAGAGTACATCTCAGATGGATGAATCAGCTGATGTGTCAGCCGTAGAAGCCAACAGGACAGAGCTCTGGCTGAGCATGGATTGGGATGAGTCCGAATCCCCGTCCAACGTTAAAAAACACAGGGGTCGGCCGAGGACTAAAAACATTGTCTACGACAAGGAGACGCAAACACCACCTCTTATGAAGGTGGTTGGTTCAGGATCCTTACACACTTTAACCCCAGAAACAGGTCAGTGTATTTCATCTCCACGAGTCACAGAAACTGCTCAAAAGCCTAGTCCAGATGTAATAATTAAGCCTAAACGAAAATATCAAAGAAAGGATGCACAAGCAACTGAAAATAAAAAAACTAAAAAGGTGATATCAAGGGGCATAAAAGCCTTTGAGAAACTTTCAAAACAGAAACTTTTCAAAAAGGTTAAAAGAAAAGGTAAAGTTGTTGAGATTTTGAGAGCTGGGAAATTGGTTAAGAAACCCAGAAAGAAAAAAGTGAAGAGTGCTGATGGGGAGACAACCCCTGCTGATACTGATCAGGCATCCCTTGAAGACCTCTCTAACCCACCACAACTTGAAATGTTCGGTGAGACTTCAAAAGAGCCGAAAAAAGTTATGAAAAAACCCAGAAAGATTTTGGTCGATGGTGTTAGTCGACCTAAGAAGGCAGGCCTTCCCAAGTTGAAAAAAATTAGGAAGAAGATACGGGACAATGCTCTTGAGGCAGATCTTTCTGATCAAGTATCACATGAAAACTTCAGTGACCTACAGCAATTAGGAATGTTGGGTGAATCTTTGAAACAGAAGAAAAAAGTTGTGAAAATTCGCAAAAAACTTGCAGTTGATGGCGTTAGCCGCCCTCGGAAGACAGATCTTCCTAAGTTGAAAAAAATTAGGAAGAAGATAAATATTGATTCTGTAGAAATGGATCCTTCAGTTACTGATCAGTTGCATGAAAACTTCAGTAACATGCCAGAGTTGGATATGGCAAGTAAACCTTTAAAACTAAAGAAAAAAGTTGTAAAAATTCGCAAAAAACTTGCACTTGACGGCATTAATCGTCCAAGAAAAAAAGGTCTTGTCAAGGTGGAGAAAAAAAGAAAAAAGATGGAAGGTGGTGCGTATGAGGCACAATCAGCTATTACTGATTTAACTGAAAATGTAATTAATCAGTCAAACTCTGATGCTATGGACGATCCAATAAAATTAAAGGAAAAAGTGGTGAAACGGCGTAAAAAACTTGCAGTTGATAGTATAAGCCGGCAGAGGAAGAAAGGCCTTGCCAAGATGGAAAAAGATGGAATTCCGATAAAGAAAAGGCTATTAAAGAAACAATTAGGTGATGGTAGCATGGTTTTGAAGAAGGTAAGGAAGAAGAAGCTTGAGAGCAGTGAAGATGGAGCTTCACAGCCATTGAAAAAGAGGAGAAAAAAATCAGTGATTGACAGTAAGGCAGTATCGGAGTCTGCTGCTCTGCCTGCTGATGTAGGCTTGGCTTCTAGTGAAAATAAAGAGGAAATTAAGGAGACCAAAGCAGAGAATAGCATAGCTGAGTCTGAAGCTCAGCCTACAGTCCACAAAGAAAAAAGAAAGAGCAAAGTAAAATATGAGTTGCAGGAGATACCACAGGAGAAACCAGAGTCTGGGGCACTGCTGTTCAAAACATCAGAACTGAGAAGACTTAACACAACTGCGGGATTCTGGTCGCCGGCACCTGGTTTGGATGAGGTCCTTAGCACATCCAAACCTAAAAGATCTCTGCATGTTAAACGCTCACCCAAAAGACAAGAAAGCAGTCTCCTGCAGCACCGGATACGGAAACTTCATTCACTGCATAAGAACTCGTTAAGAAAAGGTAAACTAGCGTCAGAAAATATTGTTGAGAGTGTTACAGTGCTACCTTCTGGAAATGTCGTTGTGCCATTGGGAGCTGCAGTGGAACTGAAACGTAGGAATAATAAATTGTTAAACCTGAAAAATGAGTGGAAGATCACTGACAAGAATACATCAGCAACATTGCAGCCAGGGTCAGTTGAAGGTTCTGCTATTTCATCTGGTCATGTCAGTAGCCCATTTGATTTTGTCAGTGAAACATTTGGTGATACTGTCAGCCAAACATTTGCTACCAGCACGCCTGTGGCACAGAGTGCTGCCCCAAAGAAAACATGGCAGCGTGGTCGACGGAAACAGATTGGCGGAGAACCTCGGCCCAAACCTTCCCCTGGCAGGAGTGCCGTTGAGACGAGGCACAAGAAGAAGAAAGACGACCTGTTGAGCCAGTCCATGGAAGTTGTGAGTATGCTGGAGAGGGAGACAAGCCAGAAGGATGAGTGTCAGATGGAGGCTGTGAACATGGATGAGTGTCAGGGGAAAGATTTGGTTCCTTCTGCGCCGCAAGTGAAGAGTGAAGTGTTGTGTTCTCAAGGTGTGGTAGTAGCTAAACCTGATGGAGATGGTAGTCAAGGTTTGATTGTAAGTAAACCTGACGGGTCTTCTAAAATGTTGAGCTCAGCCGAACTTGAGGCATCTCAAGTTTTGACTGCAGCTAAACTTGATGATGCAACTGAGCATTTGACAGTTGCTAAACTAGATGATGCAACCGAGCATTTGACAGCAGCTAAACTTAATGATGCAACTGAGCAATTGACTAAACTTGATGATGCAACTGAGCATATGACAGTTGCTAAACTTGATGATGCAACTCAGCATTTGACAGCAACTAAACTTGATGATGCAACTGAGCATTTGACATCAACTAAACTTGATGATGTTACTCAGCAATTGACATTACCTAAACCAAATGGTGTAGCTCAAGTTTCGACCACAGAAAAACTTGATCAGACATCCTCTCTCTCAACCTCATCTGAACCTGCTGTTACTGACAACTTGACCTCGGCTGAAGTTGATATTCCTCACAGTTCACCCTTAGTTGAACTTGATGTTCAGCAAAGCGTGGCTCCCACTCCAGTTGTGGAGCTATCTGAAGGCAGTCCAGAAACTATCTCCCCTCCTCAACCAATCACATCTCAGACAGAGGCAGTAGAACATAGCCACCAAAGTATCACTCCATCTCTTGAACCAATCACATGTCAGACAGAGGCAGTAGAGCATAGCCACCAAAGTATCACTCCATCTCTTGAACATACACCACCTGTTGATGAAGGTTTGCCTCCAATGACTTCCATACCAGAGACTGTAAGAGACCAGGAAATAGTTCATTCCAGCCATTTGGAAACTGTGACACATTCAGTAGAACAGATAAGTTTAGCAAACACGGCAGCACACTCAGCAGAACAAATAAGCTTAGCACACCCAGAAAAACAGACAACACACTCTGAAGAACAGACAAGTTTATCACACCCAGAAGAACAGACTTATGTAGCAGACACTTGTGTATCTAAAGAAGGCAGCATTTCTACAGTACCAACAAAGACGGTTGAAGGCGTTCACATAGATGAACAAAATGCAACTGAGAACAGCACATCATTGCAGGTTAGCACTTCAAACATTGATGGAAGTGCTGTGGCTGAAGCACCACCTGCACCAGGGTGTGAGACTTCTCTGGCTACCCCCACTGATGCTGGGGATATCACTGAGGCCACATCACCCACAGAACAATTGTCTTCATCAGCTGTGCTAGACACTGAAACAAACCAAGCTGAAAACCAAAGCTCCCATGCTGAAAACGTCGCACACGCCACCTCGTCTAAAACAGAGTTGGCTGGGGAACTTCTTCCACATAGCCCTGGCCCAGTCAATCTGTCTGACGCTTTAGCCATGCTGGACATGAAAGATCCTGCTAACAAAGGTAAGAAAAAAAGGAAGAGAATGATATTCACACATAAGAAGCAGAAAAGAATCTATCGACGCAGCAAGTTGGAGTTGCCAGCTCCATTAGTGACAGCTGATGGTTTAGAAGAATCTTCTGCAGGTGGTGTTATGGAAACTTTGGCCGATGGTTTGGTAGAAAGTCCTCTGAAGTCTGACCCCTTGAGGAGGGTGAAGAAGAAGAGAAGGAGAAACACATGGAAAAAGGGGGTGGTGAAGAAGCCAGCCCATGTAGTGAAAAAGAAAAAGATGTTGAGTTTACTTAATGTTGGACAGCCTGAAACAGAGGAGTCTGTCAGTGTAGCTGATGAGAAGCTAGAGACTGCTCCTACAGGGCCTGAGTCTCAAGAAGTTGTTGAGAAAAAACCGTATCGCTTAAAATCTGCTAAAGAAAAAACTATGAAAATGCTTAAAAGGCTTCATACCAACGCCAATTTGGCAAATGCTGTTATGGATGAGAATATCTTCCGAGGCAGATTTTTAAGAACGTTGCCACAAAAACCTACCATAGAGAAAAAACCCAGAAGGAAAAGGATAGTGAAGCAGCAGGAAGCGATGATTCCCAATCTGTGTGATGATACAATGCCCCAGCTGACTGTTGACATCCCACCAGAAACATCTCTGTTGAAGAAGAGGCGGGGTAGACCTAGAAAACTGAGCACTGGGTCCTTGCCTAAACTCACCCCCACAGACATTGACAGTCCACTTTACGACTCCAATACCTCTTGGGACAAGGCCCCACCACGGCTCTCCCCACAGATTGACACCTCCAAGTCTCTTGATCTCCTCCTGGATGCAGAAAACAAAAGCCAGCCAGACAGTGAGTTTGTGGCTGAGAGTGTGGATGACACAGATTTTCACCTGTATCTCTCTGGTGTCAGTGATGAAGATTTCTCCTCAACTCCCAAAGATTCTGTGTTCTCATCAGACAAGAGGTCCAGCCCACCTTTAGCTTTATCCAATCTGGAAGTGCCTTGTCTGATTAACGAGCTACTTCACGAAGCAAGTCCTGCTGGGGTTGTTAAAAAAAGTGGGCGGCGAAAAATGAAAGGTAGGAGAGGACGGCCGCCTGGACTCCCCATGACTGAAGAAGAAAAGCTACGTAAAAGTAACAAGCGATTAGTGTATAGTGCAAGATCGATAGATTCATCTGCCACCAGGTTTGAAGTCTTTAACTTTATCAAGCGCCCACGGACAGCTAGGAAGTCTATGCAACGCTCTAAGCCCCGCTCTCCATCTGCATCAGCCAGCAACACAGAAGATTCCAGCAGTAAAGTGTCTCTCAGGAAAAAATCTACCCGCTCCCCTCTTGAAATGTTGGAAATGAAAAGAAGACAAGAGGAAGCCATTTATGATTTAGAGGAAGAAAAACGTCAGGCTCGGCGCATTCTCTTGCGAGAGAAACGATTCGCCAGAGAATCTGGAGACGGTTTTTCAGAAGAGATGTATGTTGAACTAACTGATGGACCAATCAAGGAATGCACAGTGGTGTTGACAGATTTTGTGAAGAAACTGCAGCTGGACAATATAGTGTCAACTTCAGATAATGAGGAGCCAGATGAAGAGGTTTGGAATAAAAGCATCAGTCCTAGGGTAGGCTTGCATGAAGCTGAGGAACAAGAAGACTGGGAGAATGTGGCGGATGGGAAGGAGTCTGAGGAGTGGAGGGTCAACGAGAACCCAGAGAACCGGCCGTACATACCCAGGCTGAAGCTGAAACGAGTCATGAAGAAATCTCAAGCCTCCCCCAGTAGGCAGGAGCCCATTAAGCTGGTGATTAAAACTGAGTCGATGGGTGACAGCTCAGGAAAAGTCAGCCACGTTGACATCTCTAAAGTTGACAGGACAGGATTTGAAGGAAGTTTTCTTGACTTTTTGAAGGATAGAAAAACTGATCACCCTGCTCATAAGAAAAGCTACAGGTCAAAATCTGTCCCAAGGGAGAGCAGCAAAGTCGGAGCTTTGATTGACAGTCGTGTGCGTAAAGCAACTGTCCAACACTCTTTCAGTGGGTTCAGCATCCCTCCAGCAACCCCACCCAGCTCAGGCTGTGTGAGTCCATCTAGAACAATCTCTAGCCCACTCAAGGTGCACACCCCTGAGAAAGGTGGTATGAACTCTTCCACCACCCCATCTGGCACACCCAGGACTGTTCCATTACCAGACGAGGAGGATGAGGACATGCTGATCCTTGACTTGGATGAAAGCGCACCTGACCAGAACTCCAGTGATTCTCTGAAAGACAGTTCTCTCGCAGACACGCCAGGTAAATCCAGGCCTGCTGGCACCACCTCGATATCACAGCTGGCAACTGATGATACACTGCCACCCCCACTAGTCCAGAGGATCCCCTCCAATGATGAAATGGGTTTAATGCTTGACTCTTATAACACTGATGGTGCTTCACATGGTCAAAGTTCAAATGCTGCTGAAAAGCCTGAAGATGGAGTATGTACAGAGCTTGAAGCAGCTACAGATTTGACAGTGGGTAAAACTGATCTCAGCAAAGAAAAGCCAATAGATGATATTCCTGTACCAACTACTGATAGTCCTATGGATAGCCATGTTGAAGAGACCAGTATATCACCATCAGAAAGTGTGTCTGATTCTACACCAAATGAAGACAGCCTTATCATATCAAATACCAGAGGAAAGTCAAGCCCAGAGAACAGGAGTCCCAGACAATCCAAGGAGAAGTGCCAGGACTGGAAGGTGAAGGTCGTGCAGCAGTCAGATAAAGTAGCCTCTGGCAAGTACATGTGTAAGCTGTGTGACTTCAGCACATCTGCCAGGCTGATGATCGAGTCCCACATCTACACGCACATGCCCGGCGTGCAGTTCCGCTGCTCCTACTGCCTGTCTGAGTTCAGCGCCATGTCTGCCACCTACGCTCACCTGAAAAACACCCACTCTCCTAATGAGGCCAAGCTGCACATCAGCAAACACATTGAGGAGAAGAACTTTTACGAGAAGGAAGATTTGGTTATCTCTGAGCCACCAGCTCCACAGGCTGTCCACCCCGGGGGTCAGTCTCCGCCTGTCATCATCTCTGTTGTGGTGAGCGGCCCTGTGGGTGCGGGGCGCTGTGCTAGAGCCCCCGCCAGAAGATTTGTCTGCACTCACTGTGGCTTCTCCACCAATGTCAAAGAGGACGTAGAGCACCACATATCAGATCTACACAGGTCTAGCACTCTATACGCCTGCATTCTATGTAATGAGAACATCTTCTACTCTGAGTCTGATATTAAACAACACAGCACCACAGTTCACCCCTCACGTCCCCGACCATACAGAAAACTCCCAGACTTCTACGACGCTGAACAGTTGAGCAGTAAAGGGAAAAGTCCCAGCCAGGACGACCAGAGAGAGAATATTTTTGAGCGCATGACAACCATATTTCAAACAGACGATTCCCAGCAAGACACTGGCACCATAGATCATCATCAGAAGGCTAAGGAGTATTTATACCTTCAGGAAGAATGGAGGGAGAAAACGCGCGTGGAGGCCGATAGCACAACAGCTGTGGACTTCACAGAACAGAACCACGAGACCACCATGGAGCCTGAAGATATGAGCAGTAAGAATGACGACCTGGAGAATGAAGCTTCCTCTGGGGATGATGGGAAGGAGGTCCTTGGGGAAGATGTCGGCAAGGTTCCGTCTAAAGATGTGTCACATGATGAGGCCATCACATCATCAGCTGTTCCACCAGCACTGGCGGAGGACACCGGGGCAGACACACCGGTCACAGACCTGCTTCCTGCTGATGATCATTCTCAACAGTCATTCAGGTAGGAATAGTTAACTGTCATGCAATTAGAGCAGAATTATAGTATGTAAATATATTATCTTTGCGAGATTGATGCACATAGCATATATTAAACTGATGATTTCAATGAGTTTGATGTACATAGCTGTTTTATTAAGTTGAAGTACTACTATTTCAGTAAGATAGGTGTACAAAAGAGTAATAGTACAATATTAAAGTTTTAATGCATTTATGTTATATGAATTTATTTTAGTAGTGAGATTGTTGCATATAGCTCAGGTATATTACAATATTTAACTTCCATGCAAATTGAGTTATGTTAAGTGAATATATTATCTAAGTGAGATTGGTGTACAAATTAGGTTGATAAACTATTTCAGTAAGATAGGTGTACCAAATTGAATAATTTGAATTGAATATATTATCTGAGTGAGATTGGTGTCCATATCTTAGCTCTTTTAAGTTGATATACTATTTCAGTAAGATTGGTGTATCAAATTGAAGTATTTGAATTGAATATATGATCTGAGTGAATGCATGTGTTTTCCCAGCCCTCCAGTCCCAGAGAAGTCAGCTGTTGTGACAGAGCTAAGCAGTACAGTAGAGGGGAGCCAGGACAACTCCGGTCCTGCTGAGGACAATATGGGACTCAAAATTGTTGATGTTGTTAGCCTGAGCAGTGAACAGGAGGAGCCAGTTCCTCTAGACGAGTCTGGTGTCTTGGATCTCAGCAAAAGTGTATGTTATTTGTGGTTTTGTTAGATCTATTCACTTATCTAAAGGAATATAGTTTTTATATGTATTTAGTGAAATGCATTTGTATTTTTCTTTCTAGTAATTGTTTTGTGAAAACTGATATTGCCCCCGTTTAATACAGTATTTTTTTTGGCCTATTCAGGTGAAGAGAGCAGTAGAACGGGTAAGTCCACAGCAGACTCCTGCATTACCAGAGGAGATTATTGATGACCAACAACCCACAGACTTATCAATGTCTAAGAAAAGTTCTGACAGTGCTGCTTCAGTTCCTTCAGAGCCAAAAGACTTAGCCACGAGTTCTACTCCAGCGAGCTCTAACGCAGAGTCCGCGTCTGCTGTCTCCTCCGCCAGCAAGACATCGTCTGCTATCAATTACGGGCTGCCGCTATCTTACAAGTGTAATGCCTGCAAGGTCCACACCCCCTACCTCCTGATGATGGTCAAACATTTGAAAGCCAAACACCCCAGCATGAGGTGTTTTGCTTGTCCCTACTGTAAGACCATCCACAGCTTTATCAGCCAGAAGCAGCTGCGACTCCACGTTAAACACTCGCACCCGGATAAAATTGGCAGGAATGAGATCGCCCTCTCAGAGGAAGCCAAGAAATTTGTTGAGGCCATGGTACTGCCCAGTAGCCCGGAGTGCATCAAAGTTGGGAATCGTGTAGTCTTGGAGGAGGATATTCACACCTGTACCTACTGCCAGGTGAAGATGACCTCGCTGGGCAACGTGTACGAGCATTTAAACTCTAAACATTCGGATTTATTTGAATTTGTCTGTCCTAACTGTCAGGTCTACAAAAGCAAAGTTCTTGCCGATATCTCCTTGCACTGTGTACACGTGCATAAAGTGCGTCTAGACACGGATAAGGTCCACGTTTCTGTGCCCAAAAATTTGTTTGCAGTCCTGACTTGTATTTCTAAAGGTGGCAAGTACATTGAGAAGAACATTGGAGCCACTGAGGATGGAGCACCAAAACAAACGGACGCGGCCGCACCCCCGGCTGTTGAGAGCCCTGCGCCTGTGCAGACACCACAGCCTGCTCATCAGAATCCTGAGCCCCTGGCGCTGGATAAACCAGCAGCTAAAGCTCCACTGATGCCAGCTATCAGCCCCAGGCCTATGCCCATGTTTCCCACGCCGGTAGTCTCCCAGCCCATCCCCTTGATAGCCATTCCCTTGATGGCAGCTCCTGTAGGCTCTATCCCTGTAGTGACCAGCCGATCCATTCCAATCTCCAGCTCCTTGTTTGATACCTCCTCTATGACGGCACCCCCTCCCCTCATCCCGGCTGCCGCAGCTGCTAAACCTGCCATCAAACCCACAGCCGGAGCCTCCAGCTTTTTGTGCCACGGCTCCCAGCAGGTTCCAGCTCTGGCGTCCAAACAACCGGCACCAAAACACAGCAAGTCCTCCACCAACCCAAAAACTGTTTTAAACATCCCCAGCGTTAAACCAAGGGCAGCAACTGGTGACCCCAGCTTGTACCCCAACATAGTGACATCACTTGGATCGTCTCCCCTGCACCACCTGTCTGCCAGCCCAGCCACACCTTCACCAGGTATTGACAATATTCCAGAGAGTGAACCCGCCCCGGACGCCTTCAAAATTTTCAACCTTCGACCAACAACCCCAGCGTCAACGGCGCCTCCCCCACCCAACGCTATTGTGTTCCCACCCGTCTCCACCCCACAGGTCACGTCATTCATTCAAGGCCCAATGGCAGGGTTCCCTTCTAGCATGGTGATTCCACACACCATGCTGATGCCATTCTCTTACACCCCGCCTTTGATGATGTCACAGAAGCAGACAACTCAAAGTTCTAGCTCAACTCCAAGACACGTCAGACAGATACACCCAGCTCTCTCCTCATCTGCTCCACCACCTCAAAGCGCTCGCTTCATCCAGGACAAGGCCCTCTCTTACTTAAAGAAACAACATCAGCAGCAGTACCAGAAAGGGCAGATAGACCAGCAGTGGTTGAAACAACAGCAGCTGATGGTGCAGCAGAAGTCCACACAACCTGCTACCACCCAGCCGCAGCACGCCTCTCACTTCCAATCTGCGCCATCCCACAACGTAGACCACAGGCCCAGCGAGACCCCCGCACGACCAACCTCAGCTTCACCGCAGGCAGGAAGCGCAATCCGGCCCTCCAAGGGCATCCACAAGCGCAGCAGCTCCATGTACCAGTGCCCGTACTGCCCCACCGTGGTGACCCTCAGGGCCCTGGACGTGGCCTCACATATCCAGCAATACCACCCAGGTTGTCAGGTCACATTTAAAAAAGCACATTCTTAATTTAACCAGTTATGCCATGCAATTGATCAACTTCTTCTGCACTGAAGGTTGGTTGATTAGGTTTAAATTATTTTTGTTCAAACGTTATTTTTTAAAGTTTTATTTTGTATAAATTATGTAAAAAAAAAACTTCTTTTAGCTAGCACGTTAAAAAATTGTTTCATTTTTTTCTTGAGAAGATATGTATCATTTTATAATTTTTAGGGATGTAATTGTTAAATATATATATAGATACCTAGGCCATTTAGTTATTTTTATTTGACTTGGATTCTATTGTTATTAAGCTGTAAATGAATACCATGTGCACATTGTTAATGAAATGTAAACAGTGTGCAAATGTTTAGACCTGTACATAATGTTGTTCTCTGCTAATTCATCCTGATGTTCCTGTAGCAGAACAGATTTTTTTGCCTTCAACTAAGTGCCTTCTGCTCTAGTTCATGTTACCCAATATCTGGGCCCCTTGGCTCAAAGACTCCTGCAAGACAATCTCCATTCACAGAAAAAATATGCTTCTCTTCTATGAAAATAATCTCCCTTTACTAAGACTAGACACTGCCCTCAAACATGCCTGAGCATATTTTAATTCAAATGTTGATGGGCTTTGGTAGAAATTGTGAGTGCTTTCAGTTTCAATCTTCAATGGGCTAACAAGTTTTGATCCATTAAGTTTCTTTATGTGGGACTGTATGGTGACCTACATGCCTTGTTACTCCCTGTTATTGTAAGTTCAAGTTTGTATTATCCTGGCTACAGAATCTTAAAATTTCTCCAATTTTACATAGTAATATTTTATCAAATTATCAATGTTTGTTTTAATATTATGAATGAACTTATGTTTATGTTGTGGCGATTTTTTCTTACACTTTTATGTTGAGACCATTCCTAGTTTTCAATTATTTTAACTCAGTTTTTCTTTGTAATTGGGCAAAATTAAATCTTTTTGCCTTTCAAGGATTTAAAAAAATAATTATTATCATAATAATAATTGTCGGAATTATCAGTTGTACTGTTTTTGTGATATGCACTAGTTACTCAATTAAATTTTAGCTTGAAGACATGTAAAGACATGTAAATATATGTAAATATCTGATAGTGTACGCTCAGACCAGGCAGAAGCATTGTATGTTGGCTGGTCTAGTGTATCAAGCTAGCCAGAAACAAATCTAGTTTAGAGAACTGGTTAAAGATATATATTTGGTTGAATGTAATTTGTGTTTTTTTTTTTTTTTGTCTGAAAAGAAAGTGCCATTCACATACAGTAGCCTACTCATCTGTTAAGATTCTATTTCACACTGTACATATACATTATATTGCTAGCTATGAAATGTATTACTTCATAAGTAACACTTTTATTTAACAATCAAGTTTTGAATTAAAAGAGTTGAGTTTTTGCCTACTTTGTTCTACTCTTTGTTAATGGTTGGTTGTATGGGTTAGTGGTATTGTTTATTTGAAATGTTAAGTGGGGTTATTGGTAGATTGATTAGATGCTGCTAAACCATTTTTTGTGTGGTAAAGGGGCAGAGTTTGTGTCCAACTGACCACATCTTCTAATCTGACCAGTTGACCACACGATGTAGCTACCAATCTGACCACACGATGTAGCTACCAATCTGCCCAGTTGACCACACGATGTAGCCACCAATCTGCTCAGTTGACCACACGATGTAGCTACCAATCTGCCCAGTTGACCACATGATGTAGCTACCAATCTGCCCAACTGACCACACGATGTAGCTACCAATCTGCTCAGTTGACCACATGATGTAGCTACCAATCTGCTCAGTTGACCACATGATGTAGCTACCAATCTGCCCAGTTGACCACACGATGTAGCTACCAATCTGACCACACGATGTAGCCACCAATCCGCCCAGCTGACCACACGATGTAGCTACCAATCTGCCCAACTGACCACACGATGTAGCTACCAATCTGCCCAGTTGACCACATGATGTAGCTACCAATCTGCCCAGTTGACCACATGATGTAGCTACCAATCTGCTCAGTTGACCACACGATGTAGCCACCAATCCGCCGTGTTCACGAGTTCAATGGCCAAAGTTCCCTGATACTGATAGCCTATTATTGGATACCCCCACACCCACACAATGAATAAACAAAGCAATCAATCGCACAGGTATTTGTAGATAACGAAAGGACAGGTATTCAGCAATTTGTTAACGCCCTGGTTTCCGTGTATTTCAACTATTCCAAGCACATGCCTTCAGTATAGTAGGCTTAATATTAATAACATTTTACACAATCCTTTTAAAAATTGCGAAAGAACTACAATTAATTTTCTTATAATGTATCTTCACACACACTTGTTTCTTTTCTTTTTAATTTAAGGGGGTGGGGGGTGCATCCTATTCTATTCACGTTTATCGTCGCATAAATCACGCCCCTCCATAGATGTGTGACGTCAGTTACGACCCCCCTCCCTTTCCCCCAATTATGGTGATATAGTTCCAAGATTACATACAGCACTATGTATTTAATGCTGACGCAATGACCACAGTGAGTCATATTTTGTACAGCTTACGTACGTACCCCCCTCCCCCGCACACACCTGACGTTAAACTGACACCAACGGCAAGTGGGGGGAAGGGGATTAACCCCCCCCCCCCCGGTATAAGCCACGCGTTAGTACCAGCTCATGCGTACGTGCCTGTCGCCTGTGTCAGGTTTATTTACTGTGCTCATTAGAATTCTCCAACTTAGCAGACTTAGCTCTTTCTGGTAGTTCAAAATGGAAATTCCCAAAACGTATTTTAGTATGAGCTGTGCTGAATACGCCTGGTATATTGACAAGTCAAATTCTAGGAAAAACTATAAATATTAAAATAGTATCTATTTTAAATTTTAACCTTCTTGTAAAACAAGAAGTCGGTACGAAATCAGACAAGTTGTTAGAGATGATTACAATAAAACTTGTCTTGATAGAGACAAACTGTATTGCACCCCCCCCCTCATACTTTTTATATATAGATACCCCTTAACCCCCCCCCCCCCCTGCCTACGCCACTGACTGAGGTAGACCACGTCAGTACACCAAATGATAGAAATCCCATCCTGTATTTTCAAATGTAAAAATAGAAATGAATGAGAATTGTATTGACAAGGATGTTGATTTAACTCTCAGTATGTAGGCCTATAAAAGATATCCTTCTCAATATTTACCATTTCCGTCAGGTAACTTTACTACAACTACAACGTTTTTCGGTCTGTAAGCTACAACAAGATTTAAAAGAAAATTACACCGATATTGTGTCCTATATATTTTATTGAACATTTTCTTTAAGGATAGTCGTAGGCAGCGTGTTATAAGTAGCCAGTTGTAGGTAGCCACTTGTAGGTAGCCACTTGTAGGTAGTCTGCTGTAGGCCTGTTTAAAAATTCTCACTAAAGCTGGCGAAACGAGCTAGATTAACCTTTGGGTCACTGTAATTATTTAATTTCAAACGTTTTCACCAACCCTCTTGTAGACTCACACACGACGCTACTAGTGGACACACGACGCTACTAGTGGACACACGACCCTACTAGTGGACACACGACGCTACTAGTGGACACACGACGCTACTAGTGGACACACGACGCTACTAGTGAACACACGACGCTACTAGTGGACACACGACGCTACTAGTGAACACACGACGCTACTAGTGGACACACGACGCTACTAGTGGACACACGACGCTACTAGTGAACACACCTACCCCCTCGTCCTCCCACTGGACGACGCTATTGACGGACCCCCCCCCCCACCTACGCTGGACGACATGTTTGTTTACATCGGGCCAGTCACGTGGATGTTTCATCAGATCCTGGACTTGCATGACGAACCCAACTGAATTCAATCGACTGGTGGAGCCTGCTTGCTGTGGGAGGAAAACTATTGACGTGAGTAGCGCTAATTAGTACCATGAGCTGGTCTTTGGTTCTAGATTTTCAAAATTGATGCCAAGATTTATTTGATGAGATTACGATTGTTTTAGTAGTTTAGCCTTTGTGTAATATGTGATTACAGTTTTTTTTATGATATTGGAAAAACAACTAAAAATAAAGTTTAATATAGGCTGTATATTTTATATACAAAATCATCAGTTAAAACAAAAACATCTCTTAATCATGTTAATCTGATATAGTCTAAATATTATTAAACACTGAATTTGAAGTCTTAAAAAATATGCAATGCGTCCTCGGTTATAATTTTACCTACTGTTGAGCGGATATAATTTGACCTTCTGTTGAGCGAATATATTATTATATTATATCAACAATAGGTCAAACGATCTATTGTTATAGGTCATATGACCTATTGTTGAGCGGATATAATAAGACCTGCTGTTTAGTGTTTTCGCAAAATATTAATTTTAAATACCGTTTTTTACTTGGACCTAAATATGTACGTAGAAGATTGTAGATTATCATACAAATAACAAAACGTTACAATAAACATCAGCAAAAAATGTAATCAAAGCTTTTTAACCCTATGTAAAATCTATTTATTTTAAATTTAAAGTTAGATTGTCATTCCATGGCACGTATTGAGAATTTTTCAAAATCGAATAGAGCTAAACCAACAGTTCTAATACTTACTTCCCTTACCTAAAAAAATGTGATAAAATTGAATATTAATTTTGAACTTATAAATAAATAAAACACAACATTACTTTTATTATAACGTGTTATATTAAAATATTAGATTTGGTGGGTAATAAATAAGAGAGCTACAAAAGTGAATAAATCTTGTGACGCTAGCGACAAACACCATTCACAGGCTAGACTGGGATGACAGTTAGGACGAAATATGATCACATGAGATTACAACGGTTCCAGGATGGAGCAATATCTTGACTAAACAAATTATATATATATATATATTTGTGTATATAATAGTATATATATATATATATATATATATATATATATATATATATATATATATATATATATATATATATATATATAGGTGTATATATATATATATATGTATATATATATATATATATATATATATATATATATATATATATATATATATATATATATATATATACACGAGAGAGAGAGAGGCGCCAAGATAATGGCACAGTACTGAACTGTACACATAGTTAATAGATATGCCGTTTACTATAACAAAAGAACAAGCCTTGAAAGGTGGAGCTAAGATTATTTTGCATGAAAATCAAGAAAATCGATTGCACCTGTGTGATTGTTGGTGTGAATGTTGGGGTGTGGGAATGTTGGTTTGTGTTAATGTTGGTGTGTGGGAATGTTGGTGTGTGGGAATGTTGGTGTGTGTAAATGTTGGTGTGTGGGAATGTTGGTGTGTGGGAATGTTGGGGTGTGTGAATGTTGGTGGTTGTAAATGTTGGTGTGTGTGAATGTTGGTGTGTGTGATTGTTGGTGTGTGTGATTGTTGGTGTGTGTGAATGTTGGTGTGTGTAAATGTTGGTGTGCGTGATTGTTGGTGTGTGTGAATGTTGGTGTGTGGGAATGTTGGTGTGTGGGAATGTTGGTGTGTGAGAATGTTGGTGTGTGTGAATGTTGGTGTGTGTGAATGTTGGTGTGTGTTAATGTTGGTGTGTGGGAATGTTGGTGTGTGTGAATGTGGGTGTGTGTGGGAATGTTGGTGTGTGGGAATGTTGGTGTGTGTGTGAATGTTGGTGTGTGGGAATGTTGGTGTGTGTGAATGTTGGTGTGTGGGAATGTTGGTGTGTGGGAATGTTGGTGTGTGGGAATGTTGGTGTGTGGGAATGTTAGTGTGTGGGAATGTTGGTGTGTGGGAATGTTGGTGTGTGGGAATGTTGGTGTGTGGGAATGTTGGTGTGTGGGAATGTTGGCGTGTGTGAATGTTGGTGTGTGTGTATGTTGGTGTGTAGGAATGTTGGTGTGTGGGAATGTTGGTGTGTGTGTATGTTGGTGTGTAGGAATGTTGGTGTGTGGGAATGTTGGTGTGTAGGAATGTTGGTGTGTGGGAATGTTGGTGTTTGAACGAGATAGCTGGGGTCTTGGGTTAACCTTTAAATAATAAAAAAATAATGGTTGTACTTAAAACGATGAAATGCTAAATTAACAAAAAATAATAATTGATGAACTCATTATTTATCTAACGAAACCTTTGATTTGATGTAGCGATATGTAACCAGCTCTGGTTGTCATGACAATCTCGTGTTTGATGGAGTCTTCTTGTGTATCCTTCTGAATCGGGTTTTAAGGGATTATAATAAAATAGATAGTGTTAATGTAAATAAACTGGGAATGATATCCCTTATACTTTCTCGAATATTCATATATAACACTACGGGAGATGGCAACTCGGGATATAGACATGATTTTTAATCCATTTTAAATACTTAAACTTATTAAAATAGAACAGAATCTCGT